TTTATCCAGTCTTTTTTTTTTTCTGTTACTCAACAAATAACCTTTGAGCTCCTATTATGTGCAAAGTCTGGTGCTAGATACCATGAGGAACAGATTATATGTAAGAAGTTTCCCTTGCCGAAACCGGTTTGGCTCAGTGGATAAAGCGTCGGCCTGCGGACTGAGGGGTCCCGGGTTTGATTCCGGTCGAGGCATGTACCTGGGTTGAGGGCACATCCCCAATGGGAGATGTGCAGGAGGCAGCTGATCGATGTTTCTCTCTCATCGATGTTTCTAGCTCTCTATCTCTCTCCCTTCCTCTCTGTAAAAAATCAATAAAATATATTTAAAAAAAAAAAGTTTCCCTCAAGGATCGTAGACTAGTGAGAGAAATGCATGAGGATTAGCAATTAACCCTAGGACAAAGACTAATGAAGGGAGCTCTCCACAAGCCTTTCAAAAATTCTAAAACTGAAATCCTCCTCCTCATTTTGACCTGCTTTTCTCTTTGAAATGACCATCTCAGTTCCAAGTGCCATCATCTGTGTAGCCCATCATCACCGCTGGAAAGCTGGACACCAGCTTAGCTTGTGCTCTTTTCTCCCCCCACCACAACCTGCCAGTTATCATCCTATGTAGCTTACTTATAAAGAGTTAAGACTGTCACTGCAATAATCAAACTCTTTTGCCTGTTTCTGTTCTTAATCTCCTCAAATATATTGTGCAGACTCCCACCAGGTCAATGATTTGAAATAATGATTTGCCTGTGTTACTCATTAGCTTAACTTCTATGACTCCCAATTGCCTAAAGGCTCAATTTTTTAATATGGCAAAAAATCTCCAAAATCTTGCCTCCCCTCATACTTTTTATACTGGTTACTAAATACTCCATAAGGACTTTTGCCATTGCCAAAGCTATCCCTGTCCCCCTAAAGTGGCCTTCTCTGTCTGTCTCTCTTGGCTGACTTCAACATATCCTTCAATACTCAATTGATACCTTCATCCTTAATGGGGAGCGGGGGTGCTGCTCCTACTGATACATATGTTACCCTTAGTGCCTCTACTAATACTGTGTTTACGTCTGTTTCTACCACTAGATTAGATGAGTATTCTTCAAAGGCAGGCACTAGATCAGTGGTTCTCAACCTTCCTAATGCCTCGACCCTTTAATACAGTTCCTCATGTTGTGGTGACCCCCAACCATAAAATTATTTTCGTTGCTACTTCATAACTGTAATTTTGCTACTGTTAGGAATCATAATGTAAATATCTGATATGCAGGATGTATTTTCATTGTTACAAATTGAACATAATTAAAGCAAAGTGATTAATCACAAATTCAATATGTAATTCTATATGTGTTTTCCGATGGTCTTAGGCGACCCCTAAAATATATCTAAAAAGATATATTTTAAAATACTGCTGTATAATACATCTTTCTAAGATGAAGGAAATGTTCTATATTTTTGCAATACAATATAGTAGTCATTAAACACATGTGCCTAATGCTCACTTTAAATTAAGGACTGATGAATTGAATTTTTAATGAAACTTAGTTTTAATTAATTAAAATTTAAATTTAAATAGCCACATGTGACTTGTGGCTACCATTTTGGACAACGTAGTATAGAAACTTCTCCCCAACAGAGTCCCAACAGGAAACAGATGGAACACTCCAATTAGGATAATTCAAAGAGAGTTTATTTATAATTGGACTTTTTCTAAAGGTGTGGGCAGCTTCAAAGGAGCCATACAAGAGAGTTGCAATTACCTGTAGCAGTGACATGAGAGCAATGGTGAGGCAGAATTGATGGAAAGATACATAGCAAAGATTATAAGCCTCAATAACATTGGGACTTATATATAATATGCAATAATAATTTTAATAAAATTTTATTGAATGAAGTTTATGCTCAAAACTGTTCTTTTTCATAAAATCTTTCCTGGCAGTTTATTTACTGATAAGTAATGTGATTGCTTTCTCTATACAGTGCTGATCCATGCCATATTTTCACAGCGTCTTTCCCCCTGTATGTGGTGCCTTTTCCATTAGCAGGGCTGTGCTGACTTAATGATGGCTCCTGTCAAGGCTTTCTTTACGGAGCATCCTCTCTGATGAGTACCTGGGATGTAGAGAGGCTCTGTCTGTTATCTGTGTTGGGTCTCAATATCCTGCCCTTTCCATCCCTTACCCCGGCACACACAATTTACCTTCAGTCCTAGCTCATTGCTTGATGATTTGTGAAGGCTTTGAAAACAGAAGGAATGAGGGCTTTTAAGCAGGATGGGGCAATTTCTCCTTGCTTTATTTATTTTTATGCCATGCAAAAGGAATAAAAGCATTCAATGGCTTGATGGAAGCCCAATAAATCTGGATAAATAGAGCAAGAACCCAATAAAAAAGCTGGAGGTGGCAAAAAGAAGAAAGATGGGGAGAAGGAGAAGAGAGAAAGGGAAGAAAGAAGGAAGACTTTTTACTTCCTATAATGACAGGGACTGTTTATTATTACCTAGAGAACAAAATGTCTTTGACCCGATGAAACATTTTAAACTAAGATTAAGCTCTGGGTAGAAATTAAGAAATCATCTTTATAGTCCACTTTGAATCTTTTCATGCTGTCACCTCCTGTTATTCTTTATTAAAGCTTGCATGCCACTGCTGCTCTCTCTGTGCAGGCTGGCATTTTGTAGTTGTTCTGATGAATCATATTGCAGAAGCTAGGGAGTTTTTATGGCCAACACAACAGAAGTCGCTCATATTATTCCTGATGCCCTGTGTGCGTGTGGTGGTGGTGGTGGAGGGGGGGGCGGTTCTCTTTGTACCACTCCTGCCCCTTTTGACTATCTCTAACTTCATGAAGTGGAAAGAGACACTTTCCACTAGAGCTAGCAGTGCATGGAACTGGAGAATAAGAGCTAAGTTCTTTAGGTGAAATTACCAATTGTCTTATATACCATCGTGTATCTGTTTAGGCCATTGCCTTGTACAGCCCTGCATTAGCTTTTCACAGTTTTTCACTGCTAGTATGGATAATTCTGGTTGGAGCTGGAAAGGTAGCCACACTTTTATCTAAGTAATTGTCACTGTTGCTCTTATTATTTCAACATCCAGAATTTCACTTATCTCCCTCTTTGTCTTCTTCCCTGTTTCTTCACTGGACACAATCTCTATCATGCACACATTTCACACTTTCTTTCAAAAATAAAATGTGTTAAAGGATGTAGTAGTTCTCTACAGTGTCTCCCCCTGGGAGGCATCTGGAAATGTGTGGGGTCAAACTTTGGCTATCATAGTGCCGGGGAGTTACTGGTAGATTTTGGTAGACAGGTGTGCGTGGATGCCAAACATCCTGCAGCGTATAGAGTGTGGCTTCAAATTATGGTGATTTCCCTATCTTAAATATCAATAACACTGTTGCTCAGGAAAATCTAGATCTAACTAAAGGTTTAGGTGGGTACCAGAAACCTCAACCAATAGAGAATTTTAATTGTGCCTTGATAGGTAGATATTAAAGTCTCCTCCAGAATTTAGTAGGACACCTTCCTGGCCTATAGCAGGCCCCTAATAAAACTATGCTGTGTTCTGAATCAAGTTGTTCACTTACAAACTAGTCAATACCATTCAATAAGTCCTATGCAAGTTACTTTCAGAAATAGAAAAAAAATTAAAATACATTGCCAACATCACAATCCTAACAGTTTTGTAAGGGTAATGATTATGCACGGAAACAAAATGAGTATATTGGGAAATTTTCAAAATGCTATGGGAACAAGGACAGGTGAGAGTTTGCTTTTGAGTAGATTGCTGGGAAGTCTTTGTTGAAACCATTGGAGAATCGGTATTATTTTATTAGGGGGCTATTTGGAGAGACATTTGCTGAAGTCAAAGGTACATTATATGAAAGAACATGGAAAAAAGACATAGAAAAATATTGGAATATTATTACTTTAAAGGACAGAACTTAAGAATATGTGGTGGAAGACTGAAAAAATAAGTTAGGGTAGAGTATAGATGGTCTTGAACTTCCTGTAAAGAAGTCCTTCCACTTGATGGTATGGATTTATGTATTGGAGGTAGGATATAGCTTCCTGCCTAATGGTCTTTGCCTCAATGTTCTTTCTAAAGTCCATGCTATAAACTCCCTCAGTTATCAGCTGCTTAAACTTGCCTTCCTGATGTTCAAGGTCTCCTCTCAAAATCCCTTTCAGTTTATTAATTTAAATAGTAGCAATTTTCTAGAGGTGAATCACAGAGTAATTTTTCTCAATCTCTTTTATACATGATATGGCTGAAGAAAGTATGATTAGATTCAATTTTGATTGTCTCCCACAAAAGTAATATGTAGAAAATACCAACCAAGGTGACTCTCCATGTACTTAATAGCCTGAAGATTTAGGTTAAGGATATAACATAGAGAATTGTTCTGCTTAAAGAACGAATAGGTATTGCACAAATTATCTTAAAGAGCCAAAAAACAGCTTCCAGTTCTTAAGAACTTGAAACAGTTTGTTCTTGGAATATTGTCAGCTGAAACTGTGGTCAACTTCTGCAAATTGTATGAATTTGCACTGCATATTTTATTTAGTGTTTAGCAAAACTCCAGTATAGTTCTGCATAACTTACACAATACACCATCAAAATGACTTCAGAAACTCCCACAGAAGTTGACAATTTGGGCATCTAATGCTTTTAAGTTAATTGTATGCTTAGCGGTTAAAAAGTCAATATGAAGATCACAGTTTTGGGAGGTAATGCTCTGCCTACTGCCACAATGAATGAAACCCAACCATGTATCAGACCTATTACAGACGCTTAAAGAAGAAAATAATGTGAGTTTTAATCACCGTTCTACTTAGTCTTATGTGAAGTGCTTATGAATCATATGCAATATCATAGCGAATTTTAAACCTATTCTTGAATTTTCAAGCTGTTATTTTCAGAAAATTTAGAAGGCAAATTGTTAAGTGCTAAAGAGTAATTTCATATCATTACTTATGTCATTTTTTTTTCTCCCTTGCAGACCGGAAAAAAGGAAAGGAGTAATACCCTAAATATTGCAATAGACAACATGTGCAAGAAGACAAGAGACCTTCGAAGACAGGTAAGGAAAGGGAGAGACTTGGAGACAGAAACACCATGCAAAATGAGTCTTTTTTCCATTGCTGGAATATTTCTATCTTGTTTTGTTCTTTTAAAATTAATTTAGAACACAAAACAAGAACAATAAATATAGCTGTTCTATGTCCACATACCTCAACTGTTTTTGTGACAAACATAATGGAGAAGAAAGCGTGTGCCTTATTATTAGTCAGAGTTACATTTGCATGCTGACTCTACTTTCATCAGCTGTGTGATCTTGGGGACAGATTTTATTTTCTGAGCCTCTCTGAACCTATAAAATAAAATAAATAATACACAACAGGGCTGTGAGGATTAAATGAAATCCCTATCAGGGCCTTGTATATAGTCAATTTTTAGAGAATGTTGGTGAATTGACCTTTTACATTAGAAACTGAGTTTATCATCCACATGCTTACAACAAACAGCTAGTCATTCAGACACCCTACCAGTTACTCCTTCCAGATCTTTTCAGGATGCACCATGAGTTAGTTTCTATTTAAGTTAAGGGTACTTTTCAAACTTGGGTCATCAGGAGCCTAGGATTAGAAAGGATTTCATTCTATAATTGAGAAGTGCAGTATAATGTCACAAATTAATTTTTTTCTCCAGAAAGATGAAGACCTTGCTATTTTTTAAGACACTTGCTTTCCATTCCTTTCCACTATTTAAAAACCAGAGTTCTTTTTTCATGCACAACGCTAACTTGGTCACCATTAACTCATAAAAGAGGGCCTGAAGCTTTCCACCCTAAGCTTTTAATGCAATATATTATTGTACTTTAATGGGAAGATTTAGTAAAATGACCTGAGAAATCCTTTAATCCAGAAATAGATTTGGAAAAGGAATAAATAGGGATCCCCAGCCAGTTGATATTAGCTGGGTAAAACACAATTTTGAAGCCTGGGAAAAATCCCAAATCTCAACTTTATGTCCTTAATGTGAATTCTATTTCTACTGTCAGCACTCAGAATTATGGAATGCAAGAGCTGGAAGGAACTTAGCGCAACCTGTCTTACGATGTAGATGAGAAACAAGCCACTGTGGCCAGGTGATCCCTCTAAGGCGGAAGGGACATTGCACCTACACCAGGTCAGGATCTACACTGAACTCAGGAATTGTTAACCCCGGGGCCATCCTCCCTGTTGGTTGCTTGGCTTCTATTCTCAGTCTTCTTCGGGATTTCTACCCCATCTGCTCTCCTCAGACTTGGAAAAGTTGTTCCTAGGAGCTATCAGATATTTTGTCTTTCATTCCTGTCTCATCCCTCTATGCCTTCAATGGAGTCATGCACAAAGAGTTATTCTACATTTATTATCTCCAAAGCTTTGGAATCATTTTGTAATGTAAAGATAAAGCAATTCCTGCATGTAGAGTGATTAGATTTAGCAAATAAAAGCACAGAATGCCTAGATAAATTTGAATTTCAGATTAACAACAAATATATTTTAGTATAAGTGTGTCTCAAATATTGCATGGGACACAATTATATTACAAAATAATTGTGTTTATCTGAAATTCAAATTTAACCAGGAATCTTGTATTTATCTTTTTAAAAAAATATACTTTATTGATATTTTACAGAGAAGAAGGGAGAGGGATAGAGAGTTAGAAACATTGATGAGAGAGAAACATCAATCAGCTGCCTCCTGCATGCCCCGCTGCAAGCCCCCCACTGGTTATGTGCCCGCAACCAAGGTACATGCCCTTGACTGGAATCGAACCTGAGACCTGTCAGTCTGCAGGCTGACGCTCCATCCACTGAGCCAGAGCCAAACCGGTCAGGGCTTGTATTTATCTTATAATCCTACTTGAGTTTCTACCTCACTGTTATCAGTAAGCTATAGAAAGAGCATGAGGGTTACTAATACTCTTTCTCATAGAAAGGGAATGTTCCCAGCTTGTAGACAATTGCTGTGTTCCAAAGGTATGAAAATTTCTCGTGGTTTCACAGGTCAACATCCTCATTGTTTTGGGTAAGTATTGCTGCTGAACAAACCACCACAAATGATAGCAACCATCTATAATAATAAAAGCATACTATGCTAATTAGACCAGACATCCTTCTGGACGTCCTTCCAGACAACCTTCCAGACAAAGCTGGGGCTGCGAGGGAAGCCCAGGTCCCAGGTGCCTGCCAGCAGCCGGAGGGAAGCCTGGGTCCTGGGTGCCAGAGGGAAGCCAGTGCCGGCAGCCAGTGGAAGAAAGGCCTACTCTTGCACGAATTTCATGCATTGGGCCTCTAGTTTTATTATATTCAGGATTCCACAGATTGGCTGGGGGTCAGCAGGGCCACTTCTATGGTGTTTTTACTGTGGTCTCCCATGTAGTGGAAGTCAAATGATGGCTATGTCTGGGCTCAGAGCTGGGTATTTGAGGCCTCAATGCCTCTTCTTTCCTCTCTCAATGCAGTGTCTAATCTCCTAGGCCTTCTTCTTGTGGCTTCTCCAGCAGGGTAACCTGGACTTCTTACATGATGTTTCTGCGCTCCAGGAAAGGCCTGGAAGCTAGCAGGCCTTCTTAATGCTTGAGCTCCAAAGTCACTAGAATGTTGTTTCCTCCACATAATATAGATTAAAATAGTCACCAGCCCTGCCCCAGGTTAACGGGAGCAAGGAGAAGCAATGTCTCTCATGGGAGAAGTGGCATGAGTACATAGGAAGGGGTGGGCTCATTGGGAGCTGTCTTTAGACTCATCCATGGTCTTCAATGTCAGTGAGGTAGTGGCTATGATTCATTCTCAGTATCCTTATTTGCCCTCCCAGGACCTCACTTTTTATCTTGATGTTTGTGCTTCGGGCAAAAAATAAAAAAGAGTTTAAACAGCAATGTGAGTCATCTCCACCTCTTCCTACTCTTGCAAAATTTATCCAGCAGTTTGGTTTAAGCATCTTAACTCTTTCACACAGGAAGGAGAAAGCTACTACCCTTGAAATGTTTTTCTTTAGAATATTTAATGTTCATCTCTTGTTATAGATGTGTTGGTTTTTAGTAAAAAATAAAACAGAATCCATCTTGCTGCCCATTCATCCTACTCCCCTTGCTTACCCATGGCTTGTCAATCAGCAACACAGAAACATTTTAACTTTGGTTCAAAGAATCATTGAATTTCCTCTATGAGGAATGAGATAAATTGCTTAGACATATCCAGGGAGAAGCAAATTATACATTTTGGGGCAACAAGATGAAATGTCCTAGGAGGTGACTTAGTGTTTATTTGTTTCAACCCTCTTGCTCTGTGACTTGAGAACAAAGACGAAAGTCCTTGGCATGGTGTTCCAGATTCTCTGTAATTTGGCTCCAACTTAATCCCCATAATTCTTTTTTTTTTAAATATATTTTATTGATTTTTTACAGAGAGAAAGGGAGAGGGATAGAGAGTTAGAAACATCGATGAGAGAGAAACATCGACCAGCTGCCTCCTGCACATCTCCTACTGGGGATGTGCCCGCAACCAACGTACATGCCCTTGACCGGAATCGAACCCGGGACCTTTCAGTCCGCAGGCCGACGCTCTATCCACTGAGCCAAACCGGTTTCGGCAATCCCCATAATTCTTAACGTTCCTTCCCCTTCCCCTCGCTTTCTCAGTTCTTCTTCCTCACCACAGCAGTGCATTAACCTGTTCTCTGACTAAAACGTCTCCTACTATTCACCAAGTTTTCCATCACCGTTCTCCCCACCCCCAAACACACATGTGTATTTGAATATATGGCTTATTCAACTTGGTGCCTTCCTGGCTCCCCCTGTTTCCCCTACCTAACCCCTAATCCACTGAGGAAGTTCAAGAGTAACATAAATACTGCTTCTCCAATGAAACCTTTGCATTTTTCACCAGCTGGAATTAATCTTTTTCTTCCCAGAGCACTCATAGCATGTGTTATTCTATTATAGCAGTGATCATATTTAGCCAGTATTTCTCTTCCCACTGTGTTTTGAATCCTTAAAAGGATAGTTATGACATGTCTCATTTAATAAATGCTTTCCAAAGCTCTCTATCAACTGTAGTCCTTACATTATTTATTTTTATCCCTAAAACAAGAAATAATGCCATAGTATTATCTCTATTTCTCAGGTGAGTCAATTTGCAAACAGCAGCCACCTACCTGGTAGAGCCAACATTTGAGCCCACATCTATTCAACCTCAGCCCAAATTTGTAAGTTCATCTTCAGAACTTCCAGTGCCTAATACCCTGATTTTACTGCCATAAATTATTTTATTTCTTATTATTTATTAGGCATGTTTTTATAACTTAAATATTATTCTTCCTTCAGTCTCCTTCCCAATTATTTATTTGAGAAATGCATACCTATTGAAATTCTTAATAAGGGAGGAAGATTTTTAAACCTCCTTTACTTCCTTAAATTTTTGTAACAATGAATTTATTCCACATCTATTGTATTATTCAGAGTGAAACACACATTTAGGTTCATTAAAGGCAAGTTAAAAATGTTATGTGTGTATATTGAGAAAAAAAGTATCCATTTCTTAAATGCCAAAGTAAGGATTTAAAATATGTCAAAACAGAATTCTGGTAAAAAGAAACAAACAAACAAAATTAGAACTTGATTAATTCTTTAGTTGCTGAGTTGCTGAATTGCTATATCCATCTCTTCTTCATGTTGGTAATACCAGTGCCACACTCGGAAAAAAAAATGTAGGATTTATACCTCCTTCTCATCATTTTCATCATCAAATAATATTAAGTATCCATAAGATACAAGTCCCATTGAATTGACACAGTATGTATATACTGAATTAATTGTTAGGTAATTTAGTTCCTAGTAGTCAATTGAGTTTTGAAAGTTATATTTTACCATTTGACTTAAAATTAAAATGCCATTAATATACACAAATATAAATTGTCCTATTTCCCTAGGGATGATTCTTTTCTAAAATACTTTCTCTTCTTTCCTCTTTCCTTGACAGTTTCATTCTCTCTGTTCCCTTACTTGGTGGTGGCGGGCGGTGTGGGGCCAGGC